TTTCATTCGATGATTGGTTGGATTTATTTCTCGACTATGCTATTGGTTTAGCAATTGCTCATCGGCGACAAGAAGCGTACCAAGTTTGTCAAGCCGCCAAAGACTCCACCGTTTTCCAATCTTCAAAGCACGGATTCATCATTCATGTGGCATGGAGCGGTAAGGTTATGTTCAGCCTGTAGTGGAATACCCAACGCTGACCAGAGCAAGTATGTGCAATCTACACCAACGACGAAGAACGGTGTGTGGCAATTGCGCGGCATTTGATGCGCGATGGGGCAACCACCGATTCTTATCGAATATTCTCCTTGCTATCGATGCTTTGTCAGTCACCTGCGTCTTGGTATACATCAGGACCAGCGCAAAAGTATATTTTGCGCCAAATAAAAGCCATTGATGTCAGCCATGAGGCTGCGGCTGTGCGCCGGGGAGGCACGGGGGAGAACGAAGAGGCAGGTGATCTTACTAGTTTGGACATCGACATATGCCTTTTGATGCTCTATGGTCATATTCTTTTTACTTCTACTAGTTATTCTTACTCATTGGGTATGCATGATTCTTAAGGGAAGAGGTGCGGACAGACGATGAGGCTAATTTTGACTACCGCAGGTTACTTCCTTCGGGCACGCTCACTGGATCCCACTAATGCCATGATAAATCTTAGTCTCGGGCTAGCCTATGTGCACTATGGGTTGAAGAGACAGTCGAGCAATCGTCAGTATCTGATTTTGCAAGGCCAGTCATTTTTGTCGCTGTATGCTCGACAACATACTAATGGCGATGACTACGCATTGGCTGAACGTTATTATAATATGGGTCGCCTTTTCCAGCTGCTTGGAATCGGTTATCTGAGCTCAGCTTATTATGCCATGGCTCTAGATATATGTAAAAATGGAGGAGGCTCCAGGGATCTCTCAGCTCTCATTTTGGCGAACACACTTATCTCACTTCTGACTGTTGGAAACAATGATGTTGCCTTATCGGTACTGAGAAACAATTTGAAACTCTAAAGCTTTTGTCAGAATGCGAGGAGCACTCTTTAAGTGCGAGACCTCTGGTCCCTAAATGAATCACACCGCATATAACGCTACCTGTCCACACGAAATTGGTAAAAAAGAGTGACTAACTCAATGATTACAAGTCGTTGGAGGACGGTCATGAATAAAGAGGGTGCTATAAACTCCAACTCTGCTGTTTTCCGCCTTCCGCCAATTTCCCTGCCTACTTGCAATTGTTTCTCAGCATGTCCGTCACAAATTCACATCTTACTGTCTCATTAACCCCAGGTTTCACATTGTTCTCTACACGCATCTATCACTGACTCCTGTTAACAGATCATTTTATTGAGACTATCGTCGAGATACCTAGTGCAAATTTATCTTATACGCATCACATCAATGCAGCAGCTGGAAGAGCAGCTGGACGGGCACGTTTACTGCCATTCATTATTCATGAGGCGCCGATTGTTGCATAGGGACAGTCTGGTGTGACTACTCCTTCTCTATTATTATTTTATCAAGAGCAAGGAACCTAGGATGGATCTAACTCGGTCAATGCATCCGACCAGCCGCTGCAGAGTGGACCAAGGGCGCGTACTTAGAAAAGTGTTAGAAAGATATCCAGTCCCCCGGAGGGGCATAATAACACAAAATCACAATAAGCACCGACCCTAACATTAGAGGCGACATGATATTGTGCAAGTGGAAAGGGTGGAGCTATTTCCGGTTTTGTCACGCACGGGTATGAGTACGTAGTACCCTGGTACTTAGTATGTATGTTGTGTGTCAATTTAGTGGCTTGCATGTCTGAGTTCCACTACCGACGACTCGCCGATCGGTTCACACCATCTTCCTCAACATCAACCGAGTTGCTGAAGGACGCCAGATGATGGACGGCGCTCATAAATACGCATCACTATGGTACGCGCCGCGCTTTTCGCTCGAGGCTTAGCCGCAACCATCCTCCTCACTTTTAAGACAGCCAACGCCATTAATGAGCCCCATACCCCTCGAGGAGCCAATATCACTAATAGCGTTCCTCTGTCTGTCGACCCACGAAGCACGCTTGAAGTCTGCGAGGCGAGGACGATCAACTACATCACACATGCCTTGCCCCAGTCATGCCTCACAAGCTCCTGGAGAAGTCCAGCTCCTACGTCTACTGCATCTGCAGTCTCGCAACATGGAAGAGACGATGGGTCAGATCATGGAACCGACAACCAGCCATCATGGCCTCCGACGCCGACATTAGATCATAATGCCACCGAAGTGCAGGCCACGGAACCAGCGGCGACGACGTTTATGTCATTCGAGGACTGGAAGGAAATGATGCTCCGGCGGGCTGGGCAAGACCCTCAGGACCTGCGGTCTCGAAGACCGAGCGAGCACAACACTGATGACAGATACTCTCCGGAATCCGGTCACGCCGGTCTCGGGGAAGAGGGTGAAATATCCCTCAACTTTGAAGATTATGGCAATGGAGACCACCAGAAGCTTACGTCTCCCAGATCCACCCGCGGTGACGGTGTTGATGAGCAGCCCGCCCCCGCCGATGCGTTGCTATATGAGGAAGGAAAAGCAGCTACTGTGCATCTGAGCAAGGATGCGGGTAAAACTTGCAAAGAGCGATTTTCTTACTCGTCTTTTGATGCCGGTGCGACTATATTAAAGACTTCGCCTGGAGCTAAGAATGCCAGAGCGATCTTGGTCGAAAACAAGGACACGTACATGCTTCTAGAGTGTGACGCCGCTTCAAAATATGTCATCGTCGAGCTTAGCGACGACATTTCGGTAGACACGGTCGTTTTGGCCAATTTCGAGTTCTTTTCAAGCATGGTACGACATTTTCGCGTCAGTGTAAGCGACCGATATCCTGTCAAGATGGATAAATGGCGTGAGCTCGGGACGTTTGAGGCGCGAAACTCTCGCGATATTCAACCCTTCTTGGTTCAAAATCCACAAATCTGGGCCAAATATGTCAGGATTGAGTTCTTGACCCATTTTGGTAATGAATATTATTGTCCTGTTTCGCTACTACGAATTCATGGATCCCGCATGCTCGATTCGTGGAAAGATAGCGAGGGTGGCCGGGACGAGGAGGCATTGATTGATGGTGATGAATCCGCTGGAGCCGATTCCCACCAAGACGAAAATCATGTAGCTGACGCGGCTGCATCGAGAGATACTAATGTGCACATAACGGCATCGAATGGTACCAGTGCCAGGAGCTTGAGTTACGCCCTGGACATCTTCACAAACATGGACGCTACCTGCCCAGCACCATCTTCAGCAGGAGCCAACCCTCCAACCAGGGATCCGAAGTTGTCGTCGGTTAGCCTTGGGACATCGCAAGAATCAGATCTGGTCTCGAGTGACGTATCACAGGCTCGTTCCGCATCTCCGGAAAATTCTGGTAATTCATCGATTGCACAGGCAAAATCCATTTTGGCCACAGGGTCCATAAATTATTCAACCATCATGCCTACATCACAGGATGACCGCTTGCGCAATCACACTGGGGCTCTTAATGGAGCTGCTTTAAATGTTAACACAACGACGATCGACCGCGAAAACAATGCCGCAACCCCAACAGCTAAGTTATCGGCATCGAGTGGTCAGAACGGTAAACCACGAAGCAGTGGGACTACAGGTGCATCAGCTGCGTCTCCGACAATGCAAGAGGGCTTTTTCAACGCTATCACAAAACGACTCCAGCATGTCGAGTCGAATCTAACTCTTTCCATGAAGTATGTTGAGGATCAATCTAAACATATCCAGGAAGCATTGCAATCGAGAGAGCAGAGGCAACATGCAAAAATAAATTACTTTCTAGATGAATTGAACAAAACAGTATTGGCCGAGCTCCATACTGTTCGCGAGCAATACGACCAAATATGGCAATCTACGGTTCTAGCTTTAGAGAGCCAAAGAGATCGTTCAGAGAGAGATATGATGGCCCTTAGTTCAAGACTCAACCTTCTTGCGGATGAGGTGGTATTCCAAAAGCGAATGGCTATCATTCAGGCCATAATCCTGTTATCATGCCTCTTTCTCATTATATTTTCAAGAGGGGTTTCACTTCCATCTCTAGCGCCGTTGCTCGATCAACCCTCCAACTCACCTTGTGCAACACCAACTTCTCCAGCAACACCGCGACAATCTTCATACCAATTAAGTAAGAGGCACCATAGAGAAGGCCAATCATCGTTTCAGCCACCTGATCCTTCATGTCAGGTGCAAATGCTTTATCCTGACGAGGCCCGTAGTGACACTTCGGCTGAGGCATTACCATTGGAAGCAGTGTCGTTCCAGGGCACAGATGAACCAAAAAGCGAATGTTCTGCGTTTCAACGTCTCTCGCCACCGCCTACTCCCAATCTGCTAGGCGAAATGTCGTTATCAAGTGACCCCAATTCTGCGACTGGGTCAAATCATACTCTTCGTCGCCGCCTGGGAGGGACGTCACACATCAGCTCTCGAAAGCCTCTGCCCTCACTACCGGAACACCCTCGCTCATTAGATGAAGAGTAGATCATCTCACAGTCCTCAATATTTAACAGCAAAGGTACAATTAGAAATATGTAGTCTTAGTGTAATAGATCTACATCTAGTCAGAAAGCACAAGCAACTAGACAGCATCAATTTTGTGATCCGACATCCCTCAAAATAATACAAGGTGGCAATGAATAATGAAAGTTGTCTATTCCCAATATGCTTCTGTTCAGCATGGGCTTTTGGTGTGTGCATTACGCCCAGCTTTGTCGCGATCTTCCTAGTTTTGTCTTCGCTTGCCTTTTTGTGAAAAGAGGAGAGCGATTTCCCAATAAAACTTCGACTTATTTACATGAATTATTATAAAAACAAAGGAGCGAATATCATGACAAGCAAACGCATATTTTTTCAAATCCTTGCAAGTGTTTTGATTTGAGATTGAGTGTGCGATACAATAGCCCCAGTGAGCATTCATCCGTCCTGTAACTGGAACCTGCCAACACCAGATTGTCAATGTGGTGTAATGGTGTACATATTTTGAATTGCAGCTTCGTAGTCATATTCCTCGAGGGCGGCAAGCCTAGTTCCACGGTCATACTGAGATCGTCTGCGCCGCTGCTCGTCGCGATAGTGCTGGCCGGCATTAGGCGTGAAGAGACCTATAGATGAGTAAGGTACATATATAGATCGCCTACTCTATTCTCCACAAACTTACCAACATGCTCTGCATTCTCGCAGCTCCTCTTCATTTTAGATTGGTTGTCCGGATCCGGGAATGGTTCTTCCTGGCCTGCCAACTCAGGACAAGGGCCATTGCAAGTAAAGTAGAGCTGCGGTCATTCAGCGTCGTATACGAACTCCCTGCTCTGGTGTGGAAATTTTCATATTACCTTTGGGCGATAATGCGGAGCCTCAAGCATGACGGAGCTGTTCCTGAACTTTTGGACTAAGCAGTCTTTGCCTTGGATGGCTGCATAACCATCTGTGAGCACTTTGCTTCTGAAGGAGACAGGACGGGCAGATACTAACTTGCGTATGATATCTCTGCAATCTTGTCACTTTTAAAGCAGTTCCTGTGTATGGCACGTTAGTTAATAGTCATGTTAACGATGCAGGAAAACATGCCATCTCTGATTGCCTCTGGCCTCCACAAACTTTGTTCTCAGTTAGCTATCGCCAATTGCCTCCACTGTTTGAGCACTAACATCAATAATATCTAATGGCTAGCTTCAGTTTAGCATGAGCATTTCTCGTTACGGAGCTCCCACCTACATCAACAAAATTAATGAATGCGTAGCCAACACTAAGAAGCAATTTTAGCACTATGTTATTTATGCAAATGCAAAGACCCATCAGAACTCAAATGTGAACTTACTTGCAGTCATTCGCAAAATCAATGCGTAAGTACATGAAGTCGTACTTGCCCCAACTAGACTCGTCTATGATCCTCTTCAGCATAGCCTGATCCACTTTATTGGGAATGTTTCGGAGCATTATCTTCGCCCATTAGCCCCCGCGTCATAAATAACGTATTCATACGTACCGTAGTGCGAACGTCAATGCCATCTCGAATCCGGTTGATATCGACGTAATTGTGGTGGTTGGTAGAGTTATTGTATGGGGATCTAGTAACCCGGGCTGCGTTTTGTCTGCGGCCGTCAGATCGAAAAAACCCGGCCACTGCCCTTGATGGACTATAATTGCTTTGAACAGTCAGGGCTGGCGATGGAGGTGCATGGTACAAGGGGCCCAGCACTGGAAAGGACGGAGCCAGGGTAGTGATCGGCGATACAGAGCCTTGACTACTTCCCGGCGGGAGAGAGTCCAGAATATATGGTACATTTGCAACAAATGGCGACTGAACCATCAAAGGGTACATAGTGAACGGGTGGCTCACTCGCCCTTCTATCGGCACAACAGACCGCGAGGCCGAGCCAATGTGCATATGCTGGTGCTGAGCATTGTTTTGTGTGTTTGCCCCGGTAACATTTTGCGTTTGCTTTGGGGGCGACACAAAATTACTGTTAGTTTCGTATGCTGAAATCACCAGATGCACTCCCTTTGGGTTCATCAGTATTTTCTGCAGATTATATAACAGTATAGGGGAGCATACCTCAGGTGTGGTAACATGAGCGCAGTTGGCTATCACTTTTGTGGCATGAGATATGTCGCAAAATTCCGCAATGGCTCTAAAGGAAGGAGTTTTTGACGGATTTGGAATTTTGATGAAGGCAAATAAACGTCCGTACGAATGGAGAAAGTTCTGTGCAATGTCGAATACCTGGCCAACATCAAGGCTGATACTGGGGGAGATGGTAGCTACCAGAAGAATCTGACCAGTGTTCAAAACCGGAGATTCAGTTTCCGAGCCAGGATTTTGCTACAAATAGACCATTAACCTCGAGGAATCCGCATAGGGAGGGACAGGAGAAAAGATTCCTACCCGATGTCCGCCAAGAGAACCACAATATTCAACTTTCCAGCTTTTCCTAGATATCAAAGTAGTCGCGAGCGTGGAGCAAGCGTCCCGTATGTCTCTAAAGTGCACGTAGACTTTTCCGTTTTCCGTATCAATACTCCTTTGTCCATGAAACCGCCGTCCATGCAAGTCGAGGTCCTAACGCCGAGTCATATCAGCTTAAAATTGAGGCACTAGGCGGCTTAAGCGGGCTTTGAACATACGTCTAACCAAATACTGACTTCTTCAGCCTCCAAATGGGTATCTGATGCAATGAGAAGGTACCGGGATAGCCCTAGCTCAGTGCTGAGTGCGGTTGCAACTGGATTGGATTTACTAGCTTCGCCGAGACTGTTGACGTTAGTGAAAGGATTGAAAGTTGAAGCAGTCGGTGACAATCTTGTGCTGATTCTATGGCGAGGAGTCACAAATGGATCCCTCTCCTGCCCAATGCCAGGACCGAACTTCTTGTCACCTGGTCCCATGGTCACTGGTGATGTGGCGGCTGAATTGGAGAACGGAAGAACATGAAGGAAGCTAGTGATTTGCGTTTTTTTCCCTTCTGGTGAAATCGTTGTCAAACGCGTATCTGGTGTCCCTTTCAGTGATTCTTCAATCCCACTTGAAGAACGGGGAGAGGAGGATGTGTTGTCATGCTGTAGAGTCATGACGGACGACATGTAGAAAAAATATAGCACTAGTCTCTCGCACAGGGAATACCAAGTGCTGTCTATCGTCCTGTACAGATAGAGTGCAGGAAATCGAAGGAAACTCGTGGACAACAACCTCGAAAGTGGCTCAAGAGGAGGGAAAGCGGAATTGAAAAGTGTGATTCGGGATAAAAGTGGCCATAGAAGAAATGGGTAGTAAGCAAGACAGTGGCACCTGCCTCGACTGTCCAGAGCCTGGGACCTTCATTACATTCGTTTGGTTTCCAGGCAGGCCACTCGGGTCCTTCCTTCCCCTCGGCATCAATCTGCCACGACGGTCACCTCACGCCGCATTCATTGCGAGTCCAACATATCACTTGGTAGTGAGCAAAACCTTGTCTTCATGGGTCACCATCCGGCAGATCGTCTCGTTCCCCAATACTGCTGAGGTAGGTAATACGTACTGTTTCGGCTGTAAGGGCTATCCGCATCAAAAGTGATGCCAAAGATGCCTCACGTAGTCCTGACTCCCGTATAGACTGGTGGCATGAATAAATTGATCCTAACCTATACTTAGGTTGTAGATCTCTTCTTTTCGGTCATAGAAGGCGTTGCAGTTTGTCGATGCCAACATTTTGGCAACAGCAGCCTGCACCTATTGCCAGCTCGTTTTGCTTTCTGATTCTTGAAAGATGCTGTGCAGAGACTGTGTTCTTTTCGGTACTCCTAATATTGGAAATATTATACTACTGAGAAACATTTAGACAGAAAGTTGGGCCTGTTTCAAAGGAATAAGAGCCTGGCCTCAACCTCAACTCTAAGTGGCCACCTCTGCTTGTAGTCGAATTAATGACAACGTCGAATTAGATCGAGCCTTGACACCAAGCCAGCTGGAACAATGGGGCAAGCGGCTGTCCCAAACCACTGCCGATGAGGTGGGGTCCTGGTTGGATAAGATAAAGCCAGAAGTACTCGTGCTCCGTAACACCAGGTCCATCGGTTGCGTACCCTTTCACAGCGACCAGTTGCCCATTCTCCCACAAGCCCGTTATTACAGCAGTTCACCATCCCTTTATGTGATGAATACCGCAGAGTACGCTTGGAGACTAACATTTATTCATGCATCACAATGCCACGGCGCCAAGCTGCCTTTGACGACTATACCTCTGCCGTTCCGCAGGTACGAAACCTCGTGCATTGTTATTCCTGGAAGTCGATACCTCATTGACATCCCATCATTAACCTTAACTAGATCATCATCGCGTCTACCGATTCTGATTTTCTCGATCATCTGATACCGGTGTTAAAAGACGCAGCACACTCCAGACGGATACCGGCTCTAATACAATGCCTCACGCGATACTCCGAGGACCGCGAAGCTGATATCGAACGTATTGGCTTGACCAAACACGAAGAATTCCTCGATTCGGTTTCGAGACTACAACATGTTCGAGAAGACACTGTCAGCCTCACGACGGAGATTTTGAAACTCAACCAATCCATCCAGGCTAGCACAGAGAAACTAGCTGAGCAGAAGGGTGCCCTGGTCAATACAAAAGCTATTCGACAGAACATCGCCGATGCAACCGAGGCCCTGAGAGACTCCTTGAAGGTACTCCATGCTGTCAATCACGCCCATGACCTCATTCGCCAGAAAAATTACTATTCTGCTCTCAAATCTCTTGAGGATCTTCAAAACGAGTATTTGGTTCCTATATTACAAAATCGATATGCTACGCAACATCGCTTGGCTGATGTCATTCAAAAATCCATACCTGGCTCTCGAAAAGGTATTTCGGAAGCTGTCATGACCGACCTCAACACATGGCTGTTTAGAGTTCGAGAGACGTCTCAATTCCTTGGCGAAGTGGCGTTTTATCACACTGAAATGAGACGGTCCCGGCAGAGAAAGCGGGTTGAGGACGACCAATTCCTAGCCAACTTTAAGCTCAATTCGTCCATTGAACTTGTATGCGATGAAAGCGAGGAATTCGACGTACTAGATAACGAAGAACTGCAAGTCAATTTCACACCACTCTTCGAGGCACTGCACATTCACGATGCACTTGGCCAAAGCGATCGATTTCGTGCAGAATATGCCGCTACTAGAAGACAGCAGAAAGACCTACTTCTACCCAGCACGATTGAATTACTCACTGATGACGAGTCTTCGCTAAGCAGCCTCTTAGAGGGCATTGCGGGATTCTCAATCATTGAAAAGGAAACCATGCGTCGTGTGCCACAATTACGCTCCGCAGCTGAGGTAAGTCCGCAGTCCCTTGCTATTGGAGCAATTTCTAACATGAACACCTGCGTTTCACAGGTCGAAGAGCTTTGGGAGTCAATGTGCGGTGCTGCTATAAGCCTAACATCTCGAGCGCTGAACGACGTAGGTAATGCCGAAGTTCTTCTCAAAATAAAAGGGTTCATCGCCCTGTTTGTTCAAACCATGGAGGTATGTGCCTTCCCAAGCTGCTGGTTGCTTTTTCCTAACCTCATACAGGGCTGGGGTTACTCAATCTCCACTCTCGACACGTTTTTGCTTACGCTATTTGACAAATATGCCGAGCTTCTCAAGCATCGATTTAGTGAAGATTTCCAGGAGGTCAGTATAATGTGTCCAGATTTATTTGATATGCCTCTAATGATCGCATCTGTCTATAGATTGTCTCTACAGATGACTACATGCCAATGGCCATTAATTCTCGTGAGGAATATGAAAAAGTCATTAACGTTAGCTGGTTCATGCAAAGCCAAGCTATCGATGATGTGACGTATGTTAAGGGGTAAATTATATCGTCGTTGCTTGTTTACTGATGGCATTAGGTTCCCCTGTGTGCTACCCTTCTCGCAGATGTACCCTTTGTGTTGCATAGACGTTCGGAACTTTCTCAACCAGTTTTATTTCTTTTCCGATGATCATTTCCAGCACGCGGAAGTCATTGATGAGACTTTACGAAAGGTGCATAAATACTACTCATCGCGCAGGGATTCAACGTGACACTTAGCTAATAGCATTAGACAGTCACTGGACGAGCTTCTCACCGAAAAGGTTTGCCGATTATTGGTTGAGAGACTCTCTTCCCAATATTTGGGACAAATTGTTCAGATTCTTATTAATCTCGAGCACTTCGAAATTGCATGTCAAGAACTTGAACAGCTTCTTATCCGTGCCAGATCGTCAAGCTCGGCTGGCGGGCCTTTGAAACTGAACGCAACCGAAGAGTTTCGCAATAACAAGAAAACTGCTGAGAAAAGAATTTTCGAGCTCGTTAATAGCAAAATTGACGACCTAGTTGACACGGCGGAATATGATTGGTGAGTATGGTGCAATTTGTCGCCTCCTTACTGAGACATAACTGACCCTTCCTCCATTCTTTAGGTTAGCGGCGGCTGTGGCACCAGAGCCGAGTAACTATATGCAAACATTGACTCGTTACCTATCCAATATCATGAACTCGACATTGCTGGGGCTACCGCGAGAAATTAAGGAGCTGATTTATTTTGATGCCCTATCTCACGCTGCTAACAAAATTCTGGTTGGCACCTTCATTCCTCGCCGTACTGTAATATAAACCAATTTTTGGCGCTAATTTATATATATAGGCCCTGCCCCTGTCTCCTGAAGTCCAAAATATCAATAGCAATGGGGTTGCTGCATTGGCACTTGATGTTCAGTACCTGACTGAGTTCGTCAGTAGCCTAGAAAACGGGCAGATGTTGCGCGAAAATCTGGATGAGCTCCAACAGACCGTGAACCTGATGGAATCAGATAACCATGACGAATTTTTCGACATCTCCATTCGAAACAAGAAATACGGCCGTGTAGATGCCCTGAATGGTCCGGTACTCTTGGAAAAGTGCGTCGTCTAGCACCTTCACAGAATGTGTACTTACTAATAACTTCATCAGGCTTACTCCCGTATCGCAAGTTGCTGGCAGAGCGGCACCCCTGTCGAATTTATCATCACGGTTTGGCATGATGAAATGAGCCAGTTGTGGACAGAGACTAAACTTAACCTTCAAACACTACCTTACAAGAGAGACAAGTAAACGTGCTTGTCCACGATAAGCTTTAACAGCAAAATACGTTGAATTTGCAAACCAAACCAGACAACCCATGCGCCTACCCAAGCTACACCTGCTGTTACACCATATATACAAAAGCGATGCAGTTTTCTCCACGGGTCAAACTTCAGCGAAGCGGCGAAATGGTCAATTGCACACTTCAGCTATTCAAATTCTTCGGACGACATTGGCGCCTTTATTACATCACAGGTCAGTTTAGGGCTCGTCAAGTGGCTGGAAAATGCATTTTCTTACCTGTTGCGCTTGCATGGCAGAGTATGGGTACATGCCTTCCATTTCTCCATACATCGATGCTGGCGCCTGGGCTTGACCGTAGGGCGCTGACGGGGCGGGAGGCACCTGGCCAGCGTACATATTTGGATTTTGTCGATAGTCTTGATCAGTAGGAAGATGGTGGCCTGCCATATATTCCGCCGTGGCCATGGGATGTGAGGCATGGTTAGACTGAGCCATATTAGCATGCTGACCAGCCATCTGAGCTTGCCCCGGAGGTGCAGGCACAGCCTGTGGGCCGCCGGCAGACTGTGCAGCAGTTCTTTTCGCATGGGATGAGGCTTCCTCTCTTGGGACAATGTCAATTAGAAAATCGAACATGTCTGATTTAGCCAATGCCGACGCAATGTCCGAGCGCTGGAGGGTCCGACGTTTGTTCTCCTCAGCATGAATCCAGGCACGCATAGTAAGCTCAGTGATAAAAATATCGCATCCTTTTGCAAAAAGAATTGGCGCTTCGGCTGAAATCATCT